ACCCTCCTCCTCATCCACCCACGCCCTTCTACCTACCCCAAACAACCTCTGTACCAACCTCTCCATACACCCTCTACCCACTCTACCTGTCCCCATCCATTTCTCTCCAGTGGTTCCTCCAAATCAGCCCACTGCCCTGCCACCTCATCAAGCCCAACACCCAGCCCAGCTCTTCCTAGGCCTCTGGCTCGGGTTTTTTGTGTCTGGGAGGTATCTATGGACATGTTAGAGTTTGGCCATGGTAAAATTTCGCCTATTTATCCATCCTTTCTGTTTCTATGGCCACCCTCCCCTCCTACCCCCTCCTGCCTCCTCCTACCCCTCTAGAACAGCAGGAACCTTTGATCCTGCTCCCTTTTCTGCTCTAACTTGTATCTATCATGTTCCTCTACATGCACAATCTCTGTCTGCCTATGTAGCTGTCCTGTATAATTCCCCAGAGCATGTAGTATGTAATTAGGGGGAAAATGCGAAATATATTCATGTTTCATTTATTTCTTTGGGTTTCCTGGTGTGATCAGAGCCTGTGTGAATAAGATACATCTATATGAGGCTCAACAGCTCATATCTGACTTGGCTTGGGTGAAAAAACAAGTACAGAACCTGGGGAAAGGGAGAGCCACACTTGGGCCACAAAATACGCAAAAATCGAAATAAATTCATACAAACCCTATCTTGGACTCCAATATGAATGCATTGAGTAGATATATACTCTACTTAGGTGTACTATATACATATGTAGGTCAGGGGTAGTAAAACAATAAAGGAGGAGAAAGGGAAGGGCTGGGCTGCAGGAGCCAGTGGCACAGGCCAAGGCCGAACAGGAAACCCAAGTCTAGGGCAAGGGAAGTCAAAAAGGCCAGGCTATTAATGATAAATCATGGGGAATCATCCAAATTAGGAGATGCCCAGATCAATATGCTGTTCCGACGGCTTCCCTAGCTGAGTAAGCATGAGAAGCAAAGAAGCACTGCCAGGTGACAGCGGACAGTTTGGGCTGGAATTACAATGTTGATGGACGGGACTTCCGGCTTCACATTGTAATTCCAGTGTATGCTGTGGTGTCGCGAGAATTCTACAGTTTACGATGATGGGTATTGGGGGCGTAAGGAGCCCAGTCTCTATCCACAGTGGTTCGACCCTCATGCTCCCTGGCTCCTTTATATTCCCATCTCTCACTGTTACGACCGGGCTTAAGCTAGGCTTAAGGGCGGCGTCGGTTTCGTGAAGCGGGGAACGATTGAGTCGTTCGGCGCCGTCGGCTTGGGCGATCAGCAAGGGGCTTTGGAGGTTCCGGATCCGGGGTTCTGGCTTGGTTCGTCTAGACGCGGCGTCCGGTCTAGGATCGAGTTCGTTCAGATGAGGCGTCCTGCTAGAGCTGATGTGGATTCGAGGTTCTGATGGTAAAGCTCTTCAGTAGTCGATATTCGAGGGGTATCGTCTTGAGGTCGCACAAGACGATATCGAGAATTCTGGTGAATTCAACTGAAACACTGTAGGTACGATACAAGTGAACAGGTTGGAGAATCTCGACTACCAAGGTCCGATATTTATACTAATACAAGTCCGTGTGAATCGCCACGTCATCTAGGTCTGCCACATCAGCCTAAGAGTTCGTCTGCTCCGCCGAGCCAGAGTCAAGCCACGCCAAGATAGTCTGTGTCAGACAGAAGTAACGTGTCCGCAGTCCTCCTACGTGTCCAGTCAACTATCGTATGTGTGGTGTGTTGTTGTCAAGTATGGTCAGTCGTAGTTCTGTTTTGTTTTGTTACCTTTTCGTGAATGACCTTTGAGTGCTTGGACGGCAAGTCCACGCTTTCTCTCTATCTGTTGCTGGTGAGTTCATTTCATTTTTCTATTCAATAGTTTCTTACTTATTTCTTCTTGTAGCATCATTAGTGTCCTTTTATATAGTAAATCTTCCAATTATATATTTCTTGCTCACCCTGGGATCCCTCCAGCCACTCGGGCAACTACTACCTCAACTTCTCAATAAGAAACCCGCGGGTATATTCATGAGTACCTGTGTGTACCTGCGGCCATGGCCGACCCGTAAGTACCTGTGCTTGTGCGGGTACCTGTATCCACGAGTACAAGTATCCATTCCCACGGGTGCCACACCGGATACAGGTGTGGACTCCGAAGGAACAAGTACCTGTTCCGTGGGAACAGGTACTCGTACGGATATAATTGTGGCATGCCCTGGTAAGGAGCATACATATGGACATATTCTTTTTCCTTTTCTTTTCCTTTCCCTCTCCTTTTTTTATCATCAGAATCTCCTCTACCCTTCCCACTTCTCATCTCTCCAAATACATCCCGTTCCACTTACTCCAAGTTTCCCCTACGCCTCCTTGACTATGACTTCCAATCTCTCCTGACCTTACTTCTTCTACATTCCCATATCACTTCTGATTGGCTCCCTCACGTTCAACACATGTTACTCTGGTTAACTACTTCTCCTTTCTGATTGGCTACCCGGCTCTGATCCAGAGTCTGACTATCTCGTCAACTGACTTGGCCGGCCTCTCCTTGCTTCTGTCTCTCACATTCTACCTGATTGGCATAGACCTTCTCCCTCAGCTCCTAGCCTCTTGTAGTACTGTAGATTTTCGACCTAAAGTTCATCCCCGGTCCACCGGGACCACCGAACTGAACCTGTTCGGGGGGACAGTCCACTGTCCCCATCCCTTGTGACATCCCCATTTGGGTATATTTGACGGAATATTTTCCATATTTTCTCAGAACCCAACAAAAAACATACTAAAAAAGGTAATTGTCCCCTGTTCCCTGAGCTCAACGAACTTTGGAGGGGGACAGGCTGGATTTGGAGGGTAAAGTTCCCATGCCACTGATGAACTTTAGGTCGAAAGTCTACAGTATATATAGTGGTCTGCATATATCTACATACTCTAGCTTTGAGCTTGTCAACACCTGGACTAGCTCCCTGACTCAATCTCAGCACAATCGCGCGCTTAATTTTCACCACCAGGACAGAGCAGTTTCTGTGTGCTCTAGATATACAGTTTTTGTATGTGCCCATCATGTTCCGCGATAGTAGGTATATTCAATGCCTGCATGCTCATCGCGCTCAGGCCTGAAAGGTTATTGACACCACAATGTATCAGCCAATGTTTTCTGCTGAGTCCTATTTATGTACGCTTCCAGATGCTGCTGCGGTCAGTGAAGCAAGAACTCTGATGACAATTATCATCAGCCTGTGGACGTATTGAGCAGATACAGAGGCAGCCTCCAATACAAGTTTGTGAGCTGGACTTTCTGTGGCCCGGTCCTGATTTTTGCATGACCATCTGGCATCTGGAAGTAATTTTCGCTACCAAATACTCTACAGTATCTCTGATAAAATCCCCACCACAAATAAAGCTCAGAGAAGGATTGAGCAGGGTTAGAGATATCATTGTCAGAAAAGGTCTCTCAAGCAAGGTCAGTGCCACAACATGTGGAGCTTCCCTAGTATTTCAGGGTACTGTAGTTTTTCGACCAACTGTTCGTCACGCGTCACGCGGGGGAAAATCTGAGGGTGCCGATGAGCTCCAATTAGAAATCGAGGTTCATCGGCCAACCCCAACCCTAGAAATTTCCTAATCGGGCGAACAGTTGGTTGAAAAAGTACAGTATTTCCAAGAGTTCTGATGCTCTCCAGGCGCCGCAGTGGCATGTACGGTTGCCACAGAGTCCATGGATTGATTTCTTGTATCGCGGGTTCAAGCCACGCTTGTGCCGGGTAGCTTCCACTCCCTCTCATTTATATATGGCATACTATTAGAGGTAATTTGAGATGTCTTAGGCTGTAGCAGGCATATATGCATCCATGTAGCCTGTCTATCAATGGTATAGCACCCAGAGACCTCACAAATGCTCGAAAATGGACCTAAGTGAGTGAAAAAAGTGTATGCGTGCCTCGGATCGGACCCGGGGAGCCTTTGCCCTCTCTGCCGTGACTTGTGACGCTTGTGACTCAGTGTTACACGCGTGGTGCTGTGGCACCCAGTGGCCCAGGTCTGTGAATTATTTACGGTACTTGGTCTTCTACACAAAGCATCGGGAGTGATATAAATTGAGTGCTATGTAAACTTCTATACATAAAGATGTCTTATGCGCCAAAAATTTGACATCCCCATTTTTCTATTGACTTCATTCGGAAGTTATGGTGAGGGACATTTGTAAATCGCAGGTTGCTGCTCCCCAAATATTCTACTGACCATCTGCAGCAAAGATGTGTTGGAATTTGTGGATATATCTTGTCCTTTTCACTGGAGGCGAGTACACAAATAGACCTACAGACCTGGGGCCACATCACAATTGAGGCGCCACAAGAGGACTTGTCACAGGGGCACGTCACGGGAAGCGGCTCGTGCCGATGCCGCCTCCGACGCTCCGGGGTCCTTTTTTCGCCCGCTGAAAGCGTTTCTCGAGTTTCTGCAGCGTAAAGTTGTGCTAAATGCAGTAAAAAGTGACGAAAAACACGACTACCACTGCTTAAAGCACATCTAAATTGAGACATATTCCAAAAAGTACTAGAAAATGGCCAACATGGAGCCAGTTGAACTGAGTGTTGGCTGTGTGGCTTGAACTCGCGACACGAGAAATCAGTCCATGGACTCTGTGGCAACCGTAGGCGTGCTATCTTACTGATGAGGCGTGGTAATCATAGAACTTTGAAAGGAGTTTGCGTAGGTAGATGCGAATAAGCGTAAGGCCCACGAGTGTTCAACCCGCTCGTCGGAGACGTGCGACTGATAGACAGGCCCCACGAGGTCCCACGGTTTCAAGTTCATCTTGCAACCATTGACTCTTTAGATCTAGCGGGTCTGGCGGTGTAGTGCTCTGCGGGCTCCCTGCACTCTTGCTACTTTCCTGAGCGGGCTCTCTTGCCATCAATACTCGACGCCTGGTTTAACCTGGTTCAGCTTTCGTTGAACTTCAGTATTCAATGTCAATGACACTCGGCGCCGCGAAGGCTCGTCCGTCCGGTATACCTACAACCGGCAAACCAAGCGCCATTCCTACCCCAGGACGAACACGCTCTGCCTCGGCTGCCTCCCACAGATCGTCAATGGCCACTGAAGATGATGAGGCAATGTCGACCGCATTCGCAGATGCCATAAAAGCGAACGATCCAGCCCTCCACCGTTCCTATGGCTCCACCGGTTTAGGGAAACTGTCTTATCAACCTGATGCCGACGTACACCCCGCTCGATCTGGTCGCAAGTCTGTAGCAGGCCGGCCATCCTCCGTTGCCTCTTCTACCTCTGCTCTTGGTCTGTCTCGTAGAGCTCGTCCACTTACCCCAAACACGCGCTCTGTCAGTAGACAGTCGGAAAGGCGGAGCTCGAGCCGTATAGATGGGGTCTTTGACGTTGGAGACTGTGTGAGGATTGAGAGCCTGGGCTTCGAAGGAGTGTTGAGATTTTTGGGTGAAATTGATGGGAAGGCCGGTCAATGGGCGGGTGTAGAGCTATCGTAAGTCGATAATCCTATAGCCGCATCCTCCTTTATTCTCACAGGTTCCGATAAAAGTGGGGGTTTTTCAGGAAAAGGCAAGAACGATGGGTCTGTCGGCGGGTGAGCACAACATCTTTCTTATTCGTAGGTAACTTCCCGATCTGCTCCGTTCGTCAAGAGAATGTCGATATCGTAGTGCATTACGTTGCAGACAATTCTACTGTGTCTGTTGAATTATTGGTTGTCGTCGAGTGTCTTCGCCGTGTGTTCCACAATATCGTGTTAATTATCTGCTTGACAGGAAACGCTACTTTGATTGTGCGCCCAAGTGCGGCGTCTTTGTTTCCACGACCAAATTATCTCCCCCGACTGTTGGACCACTCGCTTCAGGATCCCGGCCTTCTTCCGTGGCCTCATTACATGGCGGCCAAACAATCGCTTCGTCCTCGAGCCATAGACCACCGTCAGTCTCCACAGGACGAGTCACTCCATATGGAAGAGCTTCTACAGCATCAATGAGAACCGGTAGGGTCACGCCATCCTCGTCCTCCACGCGGACTGCCCCTACATCTGCAACGGCGTCGGCTCCCTCGCGCTACAACAAGACCAGCATAACCTCCACACCCAAGGCCCCCAATGCAGAGGCCAATTCTTACGCTTTTAGCCCTGGGTCTAGAGCTTCTCGCTACGCTGAAATGACGGCTCAGCAACTGACGGCTCGCGCTACCGAATCCGGCGGAGCAACAGGGCCAACAATTCCCCCATCTCCTCGTACACGTGTCCCCAGCTCACCTTATTCAGGCTCAACATTTTATTCGAATACCCCTACATCATCCGCGAAGACTCCCAAGGCTGGATTAACATATCGTACCCCAGCCAATAATCCCGGCACACCGTCCCTCACACCCACTAAGCCCCGACCTTCGTCAAATGGCCCTCCACGACCCCGAATTCCTAGCTCTGTTGCCATGCCTCCACCTCCGTTTCCTATCACTCGCTCGATCTCTGCTTCCCTCGATGATTCACAATATGTTAGCACCTCGGAGGACGGCAATGTGGATATGTCTGATCTAATCTCGAACGGTCAATCTCTACGTGATAGGATCGCGCAGTTGGCATCGGGAAAGGTGTCTTCTTCGTCGTCACCACCCACCAGGCCGCCCTCTACCCCAGCCTTCGCACCAACAAATCACACCCCACAATCGGATACCTCGATGTCTACCCAGGCCTTACGGCTCGAGCTCGAGAGCGTGCATTCAGACAATAATCATTTGAGGCGTGTTGTAGAGGATCTCGAGACACGTCAGGCGGGCAACACGCAAGTCACGGAGACACTGCGTACGGAACGTGATGACGCGCTCGCCCGTATCTCTACGCTAGAAGCCTCCCTGAAGACAACTGAACGATCCTCTAAGGAACAGGCCGTCAAAATGGAATCCCTCGAACGTACTCTTGTGATTGCCACCGCCGACATGGACAAGGCCCGAATGGATGGAGAGTCTCGGATACGGGACATGCAATCCCGGTTGGATGACAAGGACACCCTCCTTCAAAATTTGAAAGAGGCTGTAGAACAAAAAGAGGGATTGGAGAGTGAGACTGATGCAATCTTGAAAACCAAAAATGCCGAGATTGCGTTACTCGAGGCCCGGGTCAACAAAGCTTACGCGGAGTTAGACGCAGAGCGAAAGGACCTGAGTAGTCAGGTAGACGAACTTCGTCAAGCTGGACAGGTACCCATCTTTTCTTCGGCCTCATCTTACCCTCTAACATTTATACAGGAAACCATCGCTCTCTACGAAGAACGGTTAAGTGCCGCGGAAAGCAAGCGATATGAACAGGAGGACATGATTGTTTCCTTGCGCGAACAACTTCGATCCCATATCCGACCTCCTTCTCCTTCTTCTACCGCGCGCATAGCCTCCTCCGCTGCCCAGATCGAGAATGAAACTCTGCGCGACCAAGTTTCGCACCTACAAGACAAGGTTGCCACCCTCGAAGATAACTTGGAAGAAAATCGCGTCAATGCGGATCGGGAAGATGCATTACTCCGAGAGAAGTTGAAGCGGGCAAAGGAGAAGGAGGACGCTTTGCGACAGCAGGCCGTTGATAACGAAAAGGAGATGGAGCGTATGGCCAAGTCCGAAAGCACAGCTCGAGGTCGTGTTGAAGAATTGGAAGAGGCTCTACGAGAAAGTGCTGTTGCTCTCGAGAATGCCCAAGCAGAAATCGAGGGTTTGCGATTCGAGATCGCGGTATGTCGTCTCACTTATGTTGGTGGGTTCAGGGCATTTACCTTTCTCGAACCACGCAGAATTTGGAGTCTCTGGCGTCCAATTCCCAAAGTCCGGCTGAACAACTTACTGAGATGGCTCGTCGAGCCACTGCCGATCGAGCACGCTACACCCAGGAATTGGGGCAACTCAGAGGAGAAATCGACCAACTCAAGTCAGAGAAGGCCATCATCTCTCAAATGCTTGACGACAGAGATTCCTCTGTCAGCATGCGCGTCGATTACGATAAGGACGAGGTAAGTGGTTGTGTTCGAACAGTCAACCCACGCTCACAACCTGCCTTGCTAGACCATACGCCTCAATGAGGAGCTACGTCAAGAACTTGTCACTGAAAGGAACATTTCCATCGAGTTGCGCAAAGAACTGAACCTTCGGTCCCAAGAAGCAGAATCAGCGCGTAAGAAGGCGTCACGGGAATTCCTCGCACAGGATGATCTGCCAGAGACGAAGCCAGTGTCGCCGTCTTCCTCTCGGCGTGAATCGGCTGCTGTACGCGAGGAATTGGCTGGTCTCAAGTAAGTCAACTCGACCTCTGTTCTGTTCGAGCCAGACCCGAACACTATCACCCTCTAGGCATATAATACAGGAGCTACAGAAGGAGAATGTTGCCACTGTTCAGTTGAATAGAGTACTCGAATCGGAAAATAAGCTTCTATTGACCGAAACAGAACAGCTTCGTGAGGTAGGCCTCCACCTCTCACTACCAAACGATCCATTCACTGTTTCTGCAGGAGATGAAGACACTCGAGGATAATGTCGAGAAGAGTTTGCTTCGTCAAGAACAGGAGCTTGAACAGGAGGCTTTGTCGGGCGGCGACACCGCGTCACTGTCACGAGCGATGAAAGAAATGAAAGCGAAGCACGAGGTATGCAGTTTCGTATGAAGAGGCAAGTAGTAACTTTAATACTTTCCCTTTGTCTGCGTAGATGGACATGGAACAACTACGGAAACGACAGGCCGACAATGAAATGAAGAGTGCCAGGACGATCCATGATGTGAGTTGTCACCCGCTGGTCAGAGAAATCGTGTCATCTTCTGACACTTGTCCATTTAGCTGAATAAGGAAGTGAGTGAACTAGAGAGCTTAGTTGAATCTAAGGTACGTACCAGGTTGACTGCATGAGTGACGACTGTTGATCGATGCGTCCATGATAGATTTATCGCGAGGTCAGTATTTATCTCGTATAGCGGCCGGTATTTTACTGACTATACACAGGACGAACTGGAGCAAGAGCTTGAGAGAATGAAGGAGAAGTTGTCCAGGAGCCAGCGCAAGTCGTCCAAGAACGCGTCCGACACGGTCAGCGGTGCGGTCGTGTGCGAGATCTGCGAGCAACAAGGTCATGACATTTTTGGATGTGACGTGCTGAAAGGAGAGGCGGCGCCGAGCCGGCCGGTGTCTGCGATGAGCGAGCAATCATCGGAGAAGGAGTTGTATTGTGAGGACTGTGGCGAACGTGGCCATTTGGCGACGGAGTGCGCTCACTCTATGGATGTGTTTTGAGTCTCTGACTGTGTCTTTGACGGTGTCTTTGTATGTTATGGCCTGAGCCGATATACCCCGCTCCTATCTTTACTGGCTATTTAACGGTCCCGATGGGGGCAAGCGCGAGAGTGACGTAGGGCGCGAGTGACGTCAGACCAGGGTCGGACGCGGTTCAAAAGCCAAGCTCGTCGCGACGAACTCTCTGCAAAACGTCTTCCTCCCAGCCCCGAAACCCAGAATACCCTCGCCATGTCCTACGCCTCCGTCGCCGCCCATAATGCTCCCCCGCCCTCAGAGCAACCTCATGCTGATCCTTCTCTCCTCACCACACCGAGTGACGTGCAGCCTGTGGCCACAGCCGTCGACGACTCTGCCAAAGTCAATGTCGCCCCCGCAGATTTCAAGACCCATCCGTCCACATTGACCTCCGAGGTTGCGGACTCCATCCCTCCGTATCCGATATCTGAATCCCCTGCACCCACTGGAAAACCTTCCGCACGCAAACGCGCACATGACGCCGAGAAGAAGGCCGAGGCCAAGTCTCTCCAACTCTGGGGAACTATTCATGAGCAACTTATGCGACCCGCTGTAGCGGGTGGCCTCATCGGCGTTGGTTCGTATACTTATTATCAAATGGATCTAGTATAGCCAGCTTATACCTGTTTCATTATGGTAGTCAACGTCGGTCTTATGGCAGGCACCGCCTATGCGTACTACAGCCAGCCTCACTTACGCCGTGACATCAAGATGATCTCCTCCACTGTTATCGGAGGATTCCTTTTGCTTGGTGGAGAAGGATACCTTGCTGAGGCTTACCGCAACACGGCCCAAGGACAGGAGGAGGAGCGCAGAGCCAGAGAAGAAGGATCGGTAATCTACCGACACTTGCGGGAACAGGTCTTGAGGCCAGGCGTTCTTGGAGGACTTGTTGGTTTGGGTGCGTACCCATCGATACGTTTTCAATACTGTTAACTTATATGCCCTTCATCATGCTAGCCAACGTCGGTATCATCGGCACCGTTGGGTATTTCGCGTACACGAACTGGGACAGACCCCACTGGGACAGGCGTACATTGTCCGCCATCTCAGTGGGCCTCCTGACGCTGTGGGGTGGCGAAGGGTCAGTGCTTTTCTTTTGCGGATCCTCATCACACAATCTCACAGCTTTTTTTGATCACGTAGTTACATCGCTGAGCAGGTTCGCGAGGGCAAGATTCAACCGCCAAGGCCCTAAATTAGTGTAGAGCGTATTAGTCTTTTTTCGTGATTAGGGGATGTGTTTTTAAACTAGGTAGTTCCATGGACACAGAAGTGGTGTAGTTATACCTCTGTAATTCTCGGTGATTTGGATTCGTGATGTTCTCGTTTGAACACAATGAACATAGTTCGAACAAATATTGCGTGTGATCCCGTTGCGTGTGGCACCGGCAGTGAGTGGCGCGCGGGACTACAACGCCCCGGCGACGGCCGAAACCCAAAATTTCGAGCGCAAGCCGACGAGGAAGTCCTGTGGCAATACCCTCTGACGCTGCTCGACTCATAACGCTACAGGGCGTACTCCCTTTCTCTAGTCGGCCGTCACCTTCCTGCTACATTCACCATGTCTCGATTTTTCAAACAAGCCGATGATTCCTCCTCCGACTCTGATTCCGAGGAGGAGCTCATGACGAGCGGCGACGAAGATGATGCCGCCGCCGCAACCAAGCCAGCAACTGCTGCCAAACCAGCCATGTCTCGCTTCCTTCGTAAGGCCGACTCAGGCTCCAGCTCAGACGAAGACGAAGACTCGGAGGATGAGAGTGAGATGTCGGACGAGGAGGGACAGAAGGAGACGAAGAAGAAGTCCCGATTTCTGCGCAGCGACAGTGAGGGTGAGGAGAGCGATGAGGATGTGAAACGGGTGGTCAAAAGCGCGAGGGACAAACGTCTAGACGAGATGGAGGCTACTGGAAAGGTCATGGATAATGCTCTGAAGATCAACGATTGGGTGGCCATCTCGAACGGTAAGCCCAACCCCTCGAAAGTATTCACCGCACTCTCACTCTGATACAATTATTTGGTGGCAGAATTCGACAAGTTGACGCGTATGGTACAGCGTCAGCAGAACATGTCCGAGCCCATTCCTCCATTCTACATCCGCACACTCTCCTCTTTAGAGACATCCCTTAACTCTGCTCTCGCGAAGGAGAAAGAAGCCAAGAAGAAGATGAACGCTAGTAATGCCCGTGCACTCACGGCCATGAAACAGAAAGTGAAGAAGACCGCGAAGGAGTATGAGAAAGAGTTGAAGCAATTCCAAGAGGTGCGTCGCTCTGTGACTTGTACACCAGCGCCCTCAGTCTTAGATTACAATCAGGATCCGGAGGCGTACGAGCGCCAGTACACTGTTTCCTCCGCACCACCTGTCGATTCGGCTGCCCCTAAGGCCAAGAAAAACAAGGCGGTTGTAGATGTTGAGGAAGACGGAGATTTCGAGACTGTCGGGAAAGGCGGAAAGAGCATTCAGTTCACGGCCGAAGGCATCTTCAAAAACCTGCAAATGATCCAAGAAGCTCGCGGAAAGAAGGTATTCCTTTTCCTTGACCCTCGTGTGTTTATAGCGTTGCTCATATCATGCAGAATACAGACCGTGCCGATCAATTACGCATACTTGAAAAACTGCTCGAAGTCGCAGAAACGCCGTACCAGCGGATACGTGTTCTCCTCGGTCTTGTCTCTTCCCGGTTCGACTACAACTCGTCAGTAACGTCCTACATGCCTCTCGAACTCTGGTCGTCCGCCCAGAAGGAGATAGATCAGCTCATCACCATCGTCACACAAGACCTTTCATACTCTATCCAAGAGGTGACGGAAGACTATGACGAATCAGTGGACCGATCCCCCTCTGACGCCGAGGGCGGTATTGTGCGGATACGCGGTAGTATGATCAGTTTCATTGACCGCTTGGACGACGAGTTCACAAAGAGCCTGCAAAACCTCGACCCTCACGGAACTGAATACGTTGACCGTTTGAAGGATGAGAAAGGCTTGTATGTTACGATTTGCCGGGCACAGGCTCTGTACGAGCTGAAGTCAGAGCCCGACGCTCTAGCTCGGGTGGTCATGCGACGCCTAGAGCATATATATTTCAAGGTCAGTCACTTGTTCATGTACGGCACACTGTGGGCACTCAAGACGATCATCTCTAGCCCGACGCTGTCCTCAATGCTCTAGAGACCGCCGCCGCCGCTTCCGACTCTGTCCCATCCCTGTCGCTCGCCTCGCAGACGACATCTGCTAACCTTATTCATTCTCTTTGTGTCCATCTTTACCGGTCCGGCAACACTCTTCTCAAAACTCGGGCAATGCTCAGCCACATCTATCATCACGCACTCCAGAACGACTTCTACACCGCCCGCGACATGCTTCTCATGTCTCATCTGCAAGAAACAATCTATTCTGCCGATGTCGCCACCCAGATTCTTTACAATCGCAGTGTCGTGCAGCTCGGTCTTTGCGCCTTCCGATGTGGCCTGATCAAGGAGTCCCAGGCGACGTTGCAGGACATCTTCACTACCCAACGAGTCAAGGAGCTTCTGGCCCAGGGTGTTCACCAACAACGTTTCCAGACCCTCACTCCGGAGCAGGAGAAGGCTGAAAAGCAAAGGCAACTTCCCTTCCATATGCACGTCAACACCGAGTTGCTCGAGGCCGCATTCCTCGTCTCGAGTATGTTAGTGGAGATCCCGATGCTCGCCAGTATCGAGTCAGAGGAATTGAAGCGCAAGACCATTTCGAAGCCTTTCCGCCGTCTTCTTGACTTCGCCGATAGACAGGTCTTCACCGGTCCTCCGGAAAGCACGAGAGACCACATCATGCAGGCGAGCAAGGCCCTCCAAGATGGACAGTGGGAACTCTGCCGTGATCTCATCCAAGGCATCAAGATATGGGACCTCATGCCCGAAACCGAAACCGTCAAAGACATGCTTGCCAAGTGCGTTTGTTCCCACCATCTGCGTCAGATCTAACTGACCTTGTTCATCATAGACGCATCCAAGAGGAGGGTCTGCGCACCTACCTTTTTACCTACGCACCTCACTACAAGACGCTCTCACTATCGCTCTTGTCTCGAACCTTCTCTCTTCCTTTACGGACGGTCAACTCCATCGTATCTAAGATGATATGGAGCGAGGAACTCCCCGCGTCCCTCGACCAGGCCGTTGGGGTTATCATCTTCAACCGTGTGGAGCTTTCGCGAACGCAACAGCTCGCGCAGGTCCTCGCTGAAAAGGTCGGACACCTCGTGGAGCAGAACGAGAAGACGCTCGACTTCCGCCTAGGCGGCACAACGGGCTGGGGGGACAGGGCGGATGGAGCAAAGGGCGAGAAACGTGGCGAACAGACCCAGGAGCGAAGAGGGCGGGGCGAACGCAGCAGAGGGGGCTCTGGTGCCCGAGGTCCGTTGTCCCTTCTCGAACTATTTCCCGACCCGTTACTCATCCAACCTTTCCTGCATAGGTGCCCGTGGCGGTCGCGGTGCGCGCTTCGCGCAAGGCTTGGGCAATCAGATGCCTGCCACGCAACGAGTCCGATAAATTGTCGTCTTTTCTTTCTTGAGCCGTTATCCCTGGGGTCGTTCGTATGAGTACATATGGGTGCATGACGTGTACGAGACAGTCTCGCACGATGTATCGCTTGAATGTACTATTACAACATGTTGTCACTTCACGTCTGCCTATATGTTATCATTCCGATTCGCTCTCGTCCTCGCTAGTCTCCGCCGAACTCGACCGATCAGATGCAGCGGCCCAGTCAGACACCTCTAGTTTTTCATTCTTGAACGAACCTATACGAGTCGAGCAGAATCAGAACGTTGACCTTCTCGTTCGAATGAGAGGCATAAAGTGACTCACCACCTGCGTCCACCTCATATCCAGCTTGAGTCACGCACTGTTTGAGTTCAGCCTTCGCGCCAACCTTGGTGCCCCTGCCGAGTATGCAACCATCTAACTTCGCCCTGTTGAAAGCGTTGAGCTCCAGCACAGAGATATAATGAAAACAAATGCATCCCTACCCGTCTTCCACAACACAGTGGTCTAGGAGGATACATCCAACGATCTTCACCATCTTCCCTATGACGCAATGTTTTCCGACAACCGTACGTTTCACACTGGTTCGCTCCCCAACACGAGTCGAGTCCCCGATAATCGAGTCTTGCGATATCTGCGATTTTGGATCGACCAACGCGCGATTTTCTGGATCGGTAGGAAGAGTGTACGTCGCCTTGGCGAGAAACTGTGGCATTTTGAAGAACATCAGATAATGTTGATGAACGTTGCAAGCAGTGTATTCCTTGGACTTACTTTACGGTTCAATTCCAGTAATGTGGGTAGGTTATTAGCCCGTCCACACTGTCCTGTTGGGTTTTCGTGAATTACGACGCCCATTCGAAAGCTGGTTGGAGAGCTTGAGTCGTCTTGATCTGTCTCACTGGGAGAGGGCGGTGCCGAAAGCGTTGCGATTTTCTGGGATGGCGAATCGGCTTCAAGGGACAGGCCAAGAAGATGTCCGTAATTCGCGCGAGTCGAGCTCGACTGTAGTGTCGAATGTCGCATGGCCATTACCTGGCTTCCACTTGTAGATAGTGACTTGAAGACTGAATAGAAATGGTCAGTACTGTATCGTCGACGGCAGGGAGGATGCCATATTACTTCTTCCGTACCGTTCCTGCTTCGTGCGTTGATACTGCAACTTGCACAACCAAGGAATGAACTCTTCCCTAAACGAATCAAACTCGTCCTTGATTTGGAGAACATCCAATACGGCGCGTTTGCAAACGTAGACATGAGAGTCTTGGTAGGTCGACGAGAGATTGGTCCGTGGAAATCTGTGGGGATATCAGAACTTGTTAGACCCAGAGGTTAAAGGAAGATCCTACTTCGACAAGAGGCCCATTCTGAGTTCCAACTCGTCATTGTTCCGGTCGGCATCGTCTGGGGTGTCAACATGAAGGAGAGTTCCAGAGTGGCGATCCCAGACGATAGGCGTCGAGGGTTGTGGCGCACCCCATTCCTCTGGTATTGTACCCTTGTCTGGCCGATGAAATTTAAACCAGCAAGACGTGACAATAGAACCGTCTAGGTTGGACTCCACACGGAATTTATTGAGGATATCTGTTAGAGGGAGGGTTTCTGGCGGCACAAAGTCACAGGGGAGCAGGACGAAGTCTCGCTGAATGCGAGATGAAAAGTTCCTGAGGACAGAACAGGTGCCGCCTGTGAGGTCCGCGGAGTCGTCGAAAGAAAGGACGTCGATGCGAAGGGACGGATAAGAGGTGGGGGCTGACGTTCCAGAGTGTATATGATGGGATATTGCGCCACGGTGGCTGGCCGGACAGAGGAGCAAGACGTCTTGAAAAGCAAAGTTCAGGAGAGCAGAGGTGTGGATAGAGAAGTAGAACGGACCTGTGATGCCTGATTGCTCGAGCCAGGTGAGAGGGTAGTCAATCATCGGTTTGTTGGCGATGGGCAGGAGTGCCTTCGGACATGACTCCTCGCCTTGTTCGCTCGAGAGCGGAAGCAGCCTACGGTGTGCATGAGACGGTGAGGACGATGATGCTGAACGGGGACGGCGTACTCGTTGCCTACTCCTGCGAGCACAACGGCGAGGAACTCCCTGGAGATGAGCGTCGAGCCGTCGTCGCTGAAGTCCATTGTGGTCGTGGAAGAGTTGTGGCGTCCGTTCCTTCACAATAATCTTCCTCTTACGTCCGACGCGCAAAACTCTGTCTCGGCCACTTGTCTTGCCTCATGAGCCAGCCTCTCTCTGTTCACACTCTCTACAAAAGACTTGAGAGGGTAGGTCAAGGCGCATATGGCTCCGTATTCAAGGGCCTCGAGCTTGCGACCGGCAATGTTGTCGCGCTCAAGATCATAGACCTCGACACAGAGAGCGACGACGTCCTAGACATTCAGCGCGAGGTTGCTCTCCTCACTCGTCTGCGCGATGGCCCTAATATCACAAAATACTACGGCTGCCATCTAGATGGTCCTCGAGTGAGTCACGGTTCATCTACATATACTCAGGAGGCTCTGCTATAACCGAAGCACTCATCGCATCTCGCTGTGGCCTCCGTACCAATCTCCTTTCGTTCCCGGCTCTTCCCTCCTGTCTATTTTCAGGTATGGATAGTAATGGACTTTGCCAGCGGAGGAAGTGTTCTCGACCTCATGAAGGCCTCGCCGGACAATGCACTCGAGGAGAAGTATGCCGCCGTCATAACACGCGAGGTCCTCGTTGGCCTTAACTATCTCCATAAATCTGCAGTCATTCACCGCGACCTCAAGGCGGCCAACATCCTCATAACTGCCGCTGGAAAGGTCATGATCTGTGACTTTGGTGTCTCAGCTCTTCTCGCCACGACGAGTAGCAAGCGTAACACGTTAGTCGGAACTCCCTTTTGGATGGCTCCTGAGGTCGCGCAAGGAATAGGCTCGACGAGTTCATACGACACTAAAGCTGACATCTGGAGCACTGGAATCTTCATATACGAGATGATCACAGGCGGTCCACCTCATATGGGTATATCTGGGGAGCGTGCTCTGCAGCTTATTCCCAGATCAAAACCTCCCCGTCTTTCAGAGGCACAGGCGAGCAAGGATCTCCGAGATTTCTTGCCTTTCTGCTTAACAGAATCTCCGCTAGATGTACGTTTTCACCAATCTTGTTTCGCTCTCATCTAACTGACTGGGCATTTCAGCGTCTCACCGCTGAGGACTTGCTAAAGACGAAATGGATCAAGTCTACGATTCGAACCCCGGTAGCCATTTTAAAAGACCTGATGCTACGCTACGACGCATGGCGCAAGGCCAATAAAGATGATGATGAATCGCCACTCTCATGGGAGGCCGACGAAGCACGACAGTAAGTCTTGGCTGAACTTTCGTCAAAGGGGTCCCATTGACTGGCTTTCCCCGACATGGCAGAAGTTTGTACGGGAACGATCATACGTGGGAATTCGACACTGTCAGAGGGCCTGTATCCGAAGCACTTTCTGCACTCGTAAATAATGATTCGAGTGAGCCGGCTCCTTTCGCCACCGTTCGACCGTCGACTGCCAAGCTCCCCACTTCGCTCCGTGTCTTATTCGACAACGACGAGGCGGCACCACCAGATCCGTTTCGCATCCCAGGCTTTCATGGTACACCTCGAAATAACGCGCCGTCTCCAATACCGACGCCGTCTGCCGCTATAGCACATTCTCGAGACCGAAGTGCTATCAAGAGAGCGATGGCCCAAAACAACGATTCTGACGATGGCCCGTCCTTAAGCAAAGCGACCTTTGCATTCCCGGCAGCAAACTCTCGCGCTCGCTCGAGAATGGACACACATAACACTGGCACCCCTGATGATAGCTGGGACGAGTCCAACTCTTCCTTTAGTCCGTCAGAGCATCATCTACCTCTTCGTCGCCCCTCAATGTCCAACGTTAGTGACGAGATGGACATGTCGGTGTCCGCTGAAACTGTCCAGTCTTTGCCCTTTCAGACTATCAGAGACCGTGGGACGACAGGCCATCTCCAGAGTGCCGAAGACTCGCCCCCAGCTGGTGAAACCGTCTTACCGATACGGACGACTTCGATCCGGGATGAATCGAGAAATAGTGTGTCGAGCGTTCAATCTGGCGATCACAGCTTTACTTTTCCTCAAGCTCGTGATTTCCAGTTTCCACAGACTCCCGTCGCCAGCACCGCCCATGAACGATTACCAGAATCTTTCGGTTCGCCCCCTGCGAGACGTACTCACGACAGAGCATCCCCAACGCACCTCAGTACTTCGAGCATCAACATCCCCAGCCCCATCAGCCATCATCCTACACATTCTCTAGACATGCCATCGTCCAGCACGATTTCTCGTCATCAGCCAAGCAGCGTACCATCATCGGGACCTCCACCTTTATCTCGAGCACGTTCAGCGACGCCGTCTACAGATAGCCGGGCCCCAGATTACAATGTAGCACCCTTGGCCGTTGGCTTTCAGCCTCCTTCGAGGAAACCCAGCCTGACCCGCCTGGCATCCGTGGCCGTCATGGAGACTATGCAGACCATGCAGATGCCGATGACGCCGCCTGTGAAGCCGTTTGCGAGAGGGCGAAGTGGTAGTTCTAACAGTGGTAAGAGCGACGTCGTAGTCCCTGGACTGAAGGATGTTTTAAAGGTCTGCTATGCAATATCGATCAATAAAAGTCGTCGACTAATGACCAACCCACAGATACCTTCCCTGTCCTCTGAGCACCATCTAGGCATGTCTGACCTGTTGCCACCCTCCCCGTCTGCCGTCACGACCAACATGAAGGTCTTCACCGCAACGTCGAGTAATCTCAGCAACTCTGTAACCTCGGCAGAACACTCGCACGGTCAATCGCCACCAAATATCGGCGTGAGTGATTGAATCTAGTCCTCTTCAACCATACAAAACCTGACATAGCCCGCTCTTCAAGGTCCCATATCCTGCGGACCATCATGGTCAAACTCCTGCTTCTTCTCCTAAACATTCACGGGCGCATAGTCGCAATCCATCTTTAAACACTAGCTTCACTCTGGGACCTGACACACTTCAGGGACCTCCGATCCGGCCTTTGGATTTCAGAGCGTTGATCTCTTCGCACGAAGGAACGCATGCGGAACTTGCCAAAATCGTTGACGACCTCGCCCAGTGGCTCTCTGTCGCTGAAACAGGGCTGACACGTCTGTTGGAGAATTCGACAGCGCAGGATCGAATCGAAGAAGAGTCTGAGGATACGGTCACGAGCGCATACCTCCTTCAGGAATTTGAGGATCAGTCCGGCGAGGAGGTTTCTGCATTGACGCAGACAGCGAATGCCTGAACGCTGCCGGCAACTTGTGTAATGTTCACTCTTCTTTTCGACGATGTGTAATTCTTGAATGGACACCTTGGATGTGACACTGTACTTTGACCTATTGCTGTACAAGTTTTTTGGGACCGCGGGGGAGATTTACATACATACATCGATCTATACAATCCACACACGAACTTCAAGACGCCTCTGTTATATGTACTTGTTCTGGGTAAGGTATTCAGTGATTATCCGCACAGACTCGGTGACATCGCTCTTGTCCGTCCTGATGTGAATTTCAGGGCTCTCCGGAGCTTCGTAAGGGGCAGAGACACCGGTGAACTCTAGAGGGCGAAAAGAAAGACGAGGCGACGGTCAAGACGGCGAGATATCTACGATGCGGAATCTACGGCCTCAGCGAATGTGCGTACCTTTGATTTCGCCTGCACGCGCCTTCTTGTACAGACCCTTCGGATCCCGCTGCTCCACAACCTCGATAGGCGCATCGACAAAAACCTCGACGAAGCCCAATCCGGCCTTTTCGTGGATTTCCCTAGCGATAGCGCGGTCTGCCTTGTACGGTGAGATGAACGCGGTGAGGGTGATACAGGATGAGTCCGTGAAGAGTTTTGAGACCTAGACGAGGCGAGGGAAGAGACGGAGAATCGGAATCCTTGTGTGAGGAAAGAAACTCTTTTCGTGAAACTCAGGAAAGACACTCACCTCGCCGATCCTCCGAATATTCTCGTTCCTTGACTTCTCGTCAAAGCCCAAGTCCTTGTTCAGTCCAAAGCGAACATTATCGCCATCCAGCCGATATGTAAATTTGTGCATATGCAGCAGGTGCTGCTCGAGGGCGCATGCGATAGTGGACTACTATCATAGCTTGCACATCAGCATACAGTAGTGTTGACTGGATCGACAGGTGAACGGATCCGACCTTGCCGCTAGCACTGAGGCCAGTGAGCCAGACGGTGACCCCCTTCTGAGAAAGAAGCTCAACACGCTCGGTGTTGTCTACTGAGCCTATTTGAGGATAACCAGGTGAGCGGCACAGCGTCGCTGCACAGAACAGTAAAGCGAACCTGCGTGGAAAGTTATGTTTGTCGACATCAGAGAATTCGGTGTTTACGATCAGGCCCCAAGATCTATAGGACTCGGTAGACAAGACTAGGACTCAAAGCTGAAGCTTGAATGTGTAACGAAAGAGGGGAACGTCGATGATCGCAGACATAGTTTTTTTGCGCGAGCATGCTGCTTATGAGATGCGGGGAGAGTGATGAGCACGACATAGTCGCGCGAGCACGGTGGCAAAAAGCAAAGGCATGGCAAAGCGGAACATTGGATGGGTTAGACACGGTAGTAAGTATGTACTGTACTGCCACAGATAGATGAAATACGAGATATATACACGTTCGGTGCCGCACTGGCAGCAGCAGCGTCAGAACCGGCATCACGAAACAGAAATGGAGACGAATCGGGGCGTCGTATTGCAATACTGATGATGCAGCGGTCTATATGCTGTGTTCCGAATACGAGCAAAGGAAAGGTTGGACAAATAAAAAAAAAGCTTGAGGGAGTCATATGTACGACCCAGAGAAAGAGGTGATGGAATTGGAGTCAGTCGAGCCAAAGGAATGTGCCCCGATAGTATATTAGGGCTGCAGAAGGCTAAGTACTAGATATACGGGAGATACCGGTAAGGGATAGGTAGGTAATGATGACAACGATAGCGGACACAGGAGACGGCGCTGAGATGAGAGATGAGAATGAAAACAGTGAGGGACGGATGATCCAAGCCAGGTCAATGTTCGTATGCTCCGAACCTCGATAAAAGTCTGTCCGCAAAATAAGCTGTCAAAGAACAGGGTGCTCGCGCACAAGCACTGCGATTCCGACGCTCGGCTCAGCAGATGACGCAACACTTCCAGCCACGCCCATCTTCCTCTTCTGCACCGATACTGCTTCGCCTCCTATGATGGCCTCCTGTTGGGACGCCCTCGCGCATCAGCATGCTGGCCCGGGTGGCAGCCTCAAAAACGTCGTCGACACCCTCGATCTTGAGGGCGGAGCATTCCTTGTAACCACGAGCGCCGATGGCTTGGGCGACACGCTCGCCCTGAGCACGGGAGACGTATTGGTCGAGATTCGGTGAGCCGGGTGGTGGGCGTAAATCGGCCTTGCAGCCGACGAGGAGTATTGGGATAGACGAGCCGCAGATGGAGCGAACTTCTTCTATCCACTGAGTGCGTAGCGGTGTTTGAATATGACGGGAGAAGAGGAGAGAGGAGGAACGAAGACAGACCTTGACCGTCACGTTATCGAGGGAGTCTGGTGTATCGATGGCAAAGGCGATGAGGATGACATGAGATTTTGAATATGAGAGGGGTCGTAAGCGCTGTTTGGGCATAGAGGGCACGTCAGACCGGAGACAATGAACGGCCGTGTTGCGGACAAACCTCGTATTCCTCCTGGCCTCTGTGAGCATTATGACGGAGGCAAATGAGAGAATGCGACGAAGAGTGAACAAGAGAAAGCGCACGCGGTATCCCAAAGAGCAAGCTGAACTGGTTTTCCATCTAGCCTGATTTCGGCGACATAGTTCTCGAAGATGGCTGAGGCGAAGAATGAGTGAGGGAAACGTGGAGGAAATCGAAGCGGGTCACGGACTTGGTTGCTGGAGACAAAGAAGATGCTCAGAACGGAAGAGAGAAGAGGGTTAGACGCTGGAGGACGCACGTATTCCTTGGGAAATTCGCCGAGAGCGAATGAGCATAGAAGAGACGTTTTGCCGCACGCGCCTGTGGAAGGTGAGTATGGTCCGGAACGCGTACACAAGTGTGAGCAGACACGTACCATCACCAACGATGACGAGCTTTCTGCGGATCTGAAGAGGAAGGGGTCGGCGACGGAAGACGAAGGGGGAACAAAAGGGGCGGAGGACGTACAGCTTGTGACTGGGACATTGTTTCGGGTCGTTAGAGGTAGGTGCGGGTCACTGTGGCAGACGGTGAGCTGCCGCAAGCAGAGGGAGTGGACGTCGAGGGAGACGACGAGGAGGAGTGCGGAGAGGGGTCGATGACGGGGAGAGGCAGGTGCGCGCAGGCGGGAGAGGCCGATGTAACGTTCTTGAGGCGGTGCGGCGCGTCTGGGTTGTGTCCCACGTCCTTTCTCCGCTTCGCCTTCTCAACCACAGATTTCATCGCCATCTTTCTCCAAAAAAGACGGCCTCTTTTACCGCGTGGTAGCTATCTCCCACCGGCCATAACGAAAGCTCCTAAAGCTGTGCACACTCTATACATACTCCATCATATCCTCGTGTTCAACATCGAACGTTCTTTCTCCATGCCTCAGAGTATGCGCCGAAGCCTCACTTGTCTCTCCACGAAACGCATGCGCCCGCCGTCATTTGTATTCAAAACCCATCGAGGACGCGGTGTGGACGCAGTAGTGTAGACACTAGCAAGTGTACATGCATCTGACGCCTGTAATAGTAGTCAAAGTGCATCAATGCGACGCCTTCCCCGCAGCGCGGTGGCGCAGCCAACTCCCCTCTCCCGGCTGAGTCGTGGTAAACGTTCAATCCAGCGTCCAAGAATAGCCAGTCGAACCCATAGCGCATGCTGCGGGTGAATACAATTATCAATTATCTACGGACTTTAGAGCGTTGAGTGGTCGGCTGTTTGTCGTACAAGTGGTAAAGTTTGTTTCTGCTGCGGGAGACGACGGTAAGTAGAGGTAATAGGTAAGTTTCTGACGGATTTGCGGGTCCCATCAAGGATCAAGGATGAAAAAACAAAGCGGATTGGGCGGCGGTATGAGGTCATGACTGAACAATGGATCAACCAAAATGGACTCGAAAGCGTGACTTCCAATAATAGCGAGTTTCGATGCAGAAATGGATGTGCGAGTACGTACGGAACAAGAAGAAGAAGACAGAAGAAAATAGCCACAAGCCGTCAAGAATGCGACGGCCCACCTCCCGCAGGCGGTGGTGGTGGACCACCAGAACCAGGAGGACCGCCACCACCAGTGCCGCCATCCCTCCTTCCGCCCTCTCTCACCACAAACTCGACTCTCGGCGGCTCGGGAGGATCAGGACTGAGAATCTCCTCCTTCGCGACCCATTCTACGATCTTTTTCACGGCGGTGATGACTTGGTCGGTCGTAAGTGGGTTTCCGACGGGCGGACAGTGCATGAAGAGGACTTTTGTCTGCTTTGGTTTTTCTGGTCGTTGTGCGGCGCGTTTGGCTTCGGCGAGGGAGCAGTAGTAGAGAAAGTCGGATACGTGGTGGCCTGCGTCGAGGGAGGAGTACATGTACTGACGAAAACAAGGGTGTGTGTGTGAGAGAGAAGAGATTTCAGAACGAATAATCAATAAGAAAGACAAATCGCGTGCGTACGGGTATGTCTTCGAGCTTCATGTCCGACACGAGTTTCTCTACATGGATGGCGGTGTGTATGTCGTCCGCAAAGTTGTCGTAGCCCTTGTCGAACCCCCTCTTCGGCGGTTCCTTCTCTGCGGGCGGGGCGAGGGGATGAACTTCGATGACGTCGCCTTCGTCCTCCCCATTGGCTCTGAGTCCAGGGGATCGCAACCTAGCAAGCTGATTATTGCTGAGCGGAAGACCGACATGGAGATCAGCAGGCGGTTCATCGGGACTGTCCATGGAGGTGACATTGCTGACGGGAATGTGCTCCATATGGGTCTCGCACAACGGCGCATGCTCTCCCAACTTGTCCTTCAGCCTATATCCAGTCCTATGCGCGACGCGTTCGAGACGGAGGACGCCGCGTCCGGCTTGACCGAGATGGAAGATAAAGTCGTAGCCGTCGTCCGGCGGGGGTTCGCATCGATGGGCCGGGTCTTCGTCTGGAGGGAGTATGGGCGGCTGGGCGTGAAAACCGGGTGCGATGTCGAGGACGGCCTGGTACGTTGCTGGAAGACAGACGGAGGTGATATGGACGAGACGGGGGCGGTCGAACGGAACAGGTTTCGGGAGGTGCGGGTTGAGGTCGGGAGTGGGTGGGAGGGGCTTGTCGGTGTCTACGACCATGGACTCTGGTGGGGGATTGACGACGAAGGCATGGTCGTTGAGGGGCTTCGCCGCGAGCCATGACGGATTCTCATCATACAAAAAGGAAGGCTGAGCTTGCAATATGGAATCAGGGCCGGACGAGGACGACGGAGGGGTACAGTATTCGAGCGAGGGCGAAAGCACTCACGCCAAAGCCGGTGAGCAGGACCCGCACCGCGTCTGGCGGTAAGCTGCCTGAATCCATGGGCTCAGAGTCATCCATCGTCAAGAATGTGGGTCGTCCACGAGAGCTATAGGGCGGTGGGTGCACACCAAGAGCCAGTCCGGTGCCACACCGTCTGCATACCGACTATGTACTCACCCGCGCTCCGCCACGCGCGCCCCACGCCGTTCGGCTTGATCCGGCGCACGGACCACCCTGCACACTATATAAACCTCTCCCACCCGCTCCCTCCGTTTTTTCTTTAGAACATACTCAGGTGCGCCTCCCCCCCTCCATGTCCTTTCGACCTCTTCTGACTTTTTTCTTGCTTCTCCGTCTACAGCTAGGATCTATTCTATAGAAACTAACCGAGTCTTGCAAGTTTACACTTGCCGCATCCTTCAAATCCAGTCGATGACATCCATGCTCCCTCGTCACACCGAGAACATGTCCTCGCTCTTTGAGCAGGACTCGATGACGTTTGGCTCGCTCGCTGTCGCACTCTTCGGAGTCGGTGGTTCGCTTGCCAGCGAGGAGAGCATTTGTCTGATGGATTCCTTTCCCTACCTACTTGTAGTACAATTGCCAATGAAAAAGAATTGTTGCCCTCTATTTCTTGTCTGAACATGCTTTCGTCCTTCTGAGTTCTGGCTTGTGTTCTCCGAAACTCAATGACAAGCAAATTTTACCAAGCGAAGTCAATTCCAACAATAAACTTCGTAGGCGAACTTCTTGCTTCAGGATAATTTTAGCCCGTCATCCGGGACCTATGAAGATGCTCTAAATCGAGCAGTCCGACCAAACGTTAGCCTCGTAGGGCGTCAAGAAGTATGTTTATACAATATCCAAGAAAGAAGCACAATGCAGCAAGATAGCAAGACGAAAGCACCAAGAATCATCAATCCCTCCTCGCCCTCCCCTCCCAAGGCCTCCCCTCATTCTCCTCCTCCTCCCACCTCTTCAACGCCTCCTCGTCCCACTCCTTCCCACTCACATCGCCCTCCTTCCTAAGGAACACCTTGCCCCTCACCCCCTCCGGCAAATACGTATTCGTCACCGGATGTCTATCCACAACACTCCCATCAGCCCTCATCCTCATCCTCATCTTCCACCCTTCAACCAAAACAGGATTTAAAAAAACACGCACGCATAATCCGGATTATACCTATATCCCTCCGCACATCCAATCTCCCTCATCAACCCCGTCGGCGCATTCCTAATCTGCATCGGCACCGGCTTCGTAAGATCCTTCTTCGCCGCCTCCGCCGCACGCTCATAAGCCTCGTACGCGCGCGTCGATTTTGGGGCCTCGGAGAGGTAGGCGACGAGGTGGGCGAGGTTGATCCTACATTCTGGCATTCCTATCATCTGGCAGGCTTGCATCGTCGCCATAGCCTAACGGAAAGCGTCACAGTCCATAAAAGGGGAGAAAACCAGCAGAGAAAGGTAAAGAAAACGCACGAGAGGCAACGCATGCCGATCCGCTAACCCGATATCCTCACTCGCACAAACCGTCATCCTCCTCGCCACATAAAGCGGATCCTCCCCCGCCTCCAACATCCTCGCCAACCAATACATCGCCGCGTCCGGCTGACTTCCCCTTACACTTTTATGCAGCGCAGAAATCATCTCGTACCTCGAGTCGCCGGTGCGGTCGTACGATGCAGAGACGGATTTGCGCAGTGTGGTGAGGAGGGTGGAGGAGGGGGTGGTAGTTGGGGAGCAGAGGACGAGTTCGAGGAGGGAGAGGGCGGTGCGGGCGTCGCCTGTGGAGAGGGAGGCGATGGAGGAGAGGATTTGACGGGTTAGGTGGGGATATGTGGGGAATGGGGGATCGGATGAGGTGGACTCTTGGGAGCTGGAAGACGGGACGGTTTGAGAGCTGGAAGGGTCTTCGGCTGCGTCTGTAGGTGGCCCGACGCGAGCGACGGCCTTGGTGAGGATCTCAGTGATCTGTTCATCGGTGAGACGCTCGAGGAGGAAAACACTGGAGGGGGAGTGTGAGAAGAGCAGGGATGGGAGGAGGGAAAGGGGCTGACCGACATCGACTGAGGAGGGCGCTGTTCAATTTGAAAGAAGGGTTCTCCGTTGTGGCGCCGATAAGCTTTCAAGAATGTAGATTAGCGGTGCATCGTGATCGGCAGCGTGGGCTGGGAAGTACCTGAACGTCTCCATGCTCTAAGAATGGGAGGAAGATGTCCTGTGAGAGAAGGTCAGCCCTGCTTTTGTGTATGAGGATTGGTGGATTACCTGCTGCGATTTTGTAAAGCGGTGGATCTCGTCCAGAAATATGACAGTGCGGCTGTAGTGGAATGCGCGGTCAGGCTATTTGTGGAAAGGACCTGGGAAAGAGAGCGCGTACCGTCCGGTGAGACGAAGTTCGTTCTTTGCTTGATCAAAAATAGGACGCACATCATTGATACCGGCGATGGTGGCGCTAAGCTCCTTGAAGACCGCGTTTGAATTGCGTGCGAGCAGACGAGCGAGGGTAGTTTTTCCGCAGCTGTGTGTGGGATGAGATAAAGCAGGAGTAGGAGAGGAGATGATAGATACCCAGGCGGACCCCAGAGGATGATGCTGCCGAGTGCACCGGACTTGGAGAGGGACTGGAGGGGAGAGTCAGGGGCAGTAAGGTGAGGATGGCCGACGTAATGATCCAAGGATGTTGGGCGAAGGCGATCTGGGAGAGGGGCTTGGTGGTGGATCGCGGTGGAGACGGTGGTGGAGCGGACGGTGTTCGTGCGCGGACGTTTTGCAGCTATCTCATCCTTCTTGTCGCCTGGGCCCTCCACACGTTTTCTCTGCTGCTGGGATGATGTCGAGGGCGGATGCTGATGCACGCGCGACAGGGGCTGGAAAATCGGGGCGAGCTTGGGCTTGCTGCAGTCTGCATCGAGGTGGTCGTTGATGTTGTTTTCAGGAATAGACTTTGAGCAGACCGGGCTGTGTGTTATGAATTAACTTATTATTATTATAATAAACGAGGAGGAGGAGAGGAACGCGCCAGGTGACGAGCGGCATGTCGAATGCTGTCCAAGTGGACGCGCTGCGGGCTGCACACGGCCGAACTCTTCACGCACGCTGGGCCGGCACACGCCGCGCGCCAACACTCATCCCCCGTTTATCAGCCCAGCCAACTCAGACCGCCATCCGCTGTCTCACCTCGCTCTTTCCTCGACCCCCATAGACGACTTGACTGGACCTGCATCCATCCCCGACGCCTCGTTGTGATTACAGGCAGGGCGCAGCACGCAGGAACAATAGACCCGTGCGTCCCTTTCTGGAACAATGACCACCCTGGTCTATTCTTTACTCACTTTTATTATACCTGCCCTCGTACAGCCCCCCCTCTCCTCCTTCCGCCTCCCCCTCCTCCCTCCCCTCCGCCCTCACAGTCTCAAGCGATACTCATGTTCTCCTCAGTCGCCAGGCTGCGACTTCTTCCTCTTTCTCTTCTCGCCCTCTCAACAGCTTCCTCCGTCTCTGCACACGTACAGTCTATATGTAAGCCTTTTTTTGTCTTCACAACGCATCGCGCTCATTCTCTGCCTCCCAGTTGCTTCTTCTGTATCTTATTGCTCTCCCCCAGAGTCAATTCTCGTTCAACAATTTGACATCGCCTACCTCCCGAGCAACAACTCCGTCTCCTTCAACGTCTCAGCCGCTAGCGTCGTCAGTCCCCTCCTTCTTTTTCTACCTCCGCTCTCTCTTACCTCCTCTCCAGGAAAGCAACCTTAATGTCTCCGTCAACATTTTCCTCAATGTCTACGGCTCACATCCCATAAACCTCACCGTCGATATCTGCAGTGTACTCAGCGGCGCTCTCTGTCCTCTCCCAGAGTACAACTTCGTCGGCGCAGAGAGCTTGCAGCTGCCAGACTCGGTAGACATCAGCTCTTTCGTCCCTTCCATCGCCTACATCATCCCAGACCTCGAGGCATATGCACAGATCACCCTCATCGAGACTTCGACCGGCGACACAAAGGCCTGTCTCCAGATCACTGCCTCCAACGGCTGGTCCATGCATCAGCCCGCTGTCTCCTGGGCCACCGGTGGCGTCGCTTTCCTTGCTCTCGCCTCCGCTGCTTGGCAGTCTCTCGTCCCAGAGCCTCTCCTCGCTCCCTTCCGCCTCCTCGATCTTCTCGGTCTTTACCAGATTATTGCTTTTTCTGCTCTACTCGACCTGAACTACTCCGTCGTCTATCGCGCATTCGCCCTCAACTTTTCATGGGCCATCGGTCTTTTCTTCCAGTCTGACTCTTCCATCCAGAACAGTGTCGACAACATGAGGAGGCTCACCGGAGGCGACGTCTCGGATTCTTCCAGCGGAAACGGCGTCGCTCTCGTCAATCGCAAGCTCAGTCCGTACAATGACGTGGCGACAAACTTCGTTTCCCCCCTCTCCCGCCGCAGTTCAGCCGTCGCCGACTTTTTCGAGAGCCTTTTCCCGTCCGACTTTGCGTCCTCCAAGCTTGCCGGCACCTCAAACAGCCTCGTCAGCACTCCATCCATCCACGAGGCCGTGCAGACCGTCACCGCCGACTCGGATAATGTACTTGAGGCCGGTATCCCCATCTATGCCAGCGCCGCAGGAGTCACCACAGACAATGCTTTCATGACGGTCTTCTTCGTGGCACTCATTCTCTTCGCCATCACCTTGGGTATTCTCGCTATCCTATACGGCATCCTCCTTATTTTCACCCGCAAGGGCCTCAATTCTCCGGTGTGGGCAAGAAACATCCGCGGCAGGTACCCAATTATCGTTCGACAATGGGCTCTCCGTGTCGTAAGTTTTTCCTCCATTAAATCATTTCCCACCACTGATATATTTTCCCGTAGGGTCTTGTCTGTTTCGCACCGCTGATCATCTTCGCCTTCTTCCAATGGACCCTCAACGACTCGTGGCTCGCCGTCCTCATATCGGTGATCACCTTCCTCGGCATCATGGCCGCCGTAGGATGGGCCGCCTTCAAGGTCTTCCTCTCGGCGAAACGGTCAGGCCCTGACAACCTCTCGTACGAAGTCCCCGAATATGATCCCCTCTTCGGCGCGCACCGCATCGCCCGCTGGTGGTTCTTCATCGTACCCATCGTCGCCATCTTCGTCCGCTCTCTCCTCATCTCCTTCGCAAAAGCGTCCGGGACGACCCAGGTCGTGTTCTTCATCATCATCGACCTCTTCGTATTCCTCTCCCTCTGCGTCCTCAAGCCCAACAGGACGCGACGGGCCGACGTGCTCACCATCTTCCTCGCCCTCGTTCGACTCGTCGTTTCCGGCCTGTTGATCGCTTTCATCGAGTCTCTCGATGTGGCTGCAATCCCCCGTGTAGCCATCGGCATCGTCATCGCCGTGATCTGGTCAGTGACCGTCGTCATCATGTTCCTCAACATCGTCTGGAACCTCGGTCTTCGCCGTCTATGGAACGCCCGACGTTTCCGCAACCTAGACAGCAGATCACCGTCACCGAGCAGAGGAGAAAAGGACGAAAGCAAAGTGGAACGAGGGCCATTTGAAGAGAAGGAGGTTTCACCTGATGCTCCCGTGCCCGTTCCTCACCATACCTTGGAAGCACTCCCTCCGAGCGCGACGCTCACAGAGACTTCGTACGGGAGCGAGATTCCGAGTCGATTCACTGAGCACCAGTCGACCCCGCATGGGAGGCCTGTATCGCAGGAGACACATTCGGCGTACTCCTATGTCGAGATGCCACCCTCGCCGGCACCACGCAACCGAGACTCGTATTTCCCACCAATACAGGAAGGGAAGGCGTTTTGAGGGGAGACCTAATAGTCTGCGCTGCTGTTATTCTTTTTCGCTAATTACATACTCATACTCATTCTTGCTGTCGCATCATTGTATCACCTCGCATGTGCATGGATATATCTGTCACTCGTTTACACACACACACACATACTACATGTTTTCTTTCTCTAGCTATCCTTCATGTGCATTTGATCATCTTTTTTATTTCTGCTTGATGCATACATATTTTTTCTTCATCTCTTACGCTCGTCTGACACCTCTATCCACCACCATCTCGTGCATGACTTGACTCTCACCTCGGACCTGCCCCGCATCAATCATCGTATGTAGGCGTTCCCAGACCTGATACCGTCATCAGCATCTATCAACCATCTCTGCATCCTTATTTTTTTTTCGCCTGAACCCATAGACTTCTTCTCTCTTCTCTCTCTTCTCTTCTCACGCCCTCCTGCTTTCTCCCGTATCATCTTTACCGTCCCTTGCACGTTCCATGTATAATACACCCGAGGCCCCACGTTTTATCATAATAAGCATCCGGTCACCTCACATCGCACACTTTGCCCTCCCATTTGCGTGTCATAGAGGTTTACCAGTGGTGGTGTTTCAGATGACCTTTTCCCCCCACTTTTGCCTTTTTTCTGTGCGTCTGTGCGTACCCTACTGATAACTTACTGTGCGGGCTTCAAAGTACATACCTACCACTCACTCGGCGAATATGTGCACGGACCTCTTTCCTCTGAATCCTCTCTTCCTACTGATCTCTGAATCCTCTCTTCCTACTGATCTCTCATCGGACCTACTGACCTACTTACTTATCTATACTCTACCGCCCTACCTGCGAATTCTGTACGTACGTACGTACCGGGCTTGGGAGCAGACTTACGACGAGGACCTAGGGCTGGCGAGACCGGTGGGGCTTGCTGGTGCTGGGACATGAAAAAAATGAAAAATGAAAACCAGGGGGGATTGCTCGAGATTGCGTGTTTTGTGGCTCATCGAAAGTTGACTGTGATAGTCGAGCATGATATCGCACACTTGGGAGGGATGCACGAAGGAGCATAAGAGTCAGAGTAGAAGTACAGTCTCGATTTGACAGTCGTTTCTCTGAATCAGAACAGATCGACCGTCGCCCTCCTGGAGGACATCACAGCGACCACCTTCCCCTCGAAACTCAACAGGTCTCCGCCCTCCGTCGCGACGAGATCTGCCATGGCACCAACGGTCGTGGTCGCGGTCGTGGTCTCTACCTTACCGCCCAGTAGTTTCTCGAGGTTCGTCGACGCGAGAGCGAGGGCCTGTGCTTTCGAGATGCGTCCGTCGGCTTGTAGTGCGGCCTGCGACGTGAATCATGCCAGTTTAGTGTATTTATATCCAGAAGTACGAGGAATGAAGTAGAGGCTCACCCATCCGACTTCGAATCTCGCGTTGCGCGCTGTCGCGGCTTCTAAAGTGCCGACGCCAACCGTCACATTATTCGCGATGAGGAGAGAGATCCCGCTTTCCTTCGAGAGCGGAAGCCCAGGGAGACTATCATCATTGCGGTAGAGACAATCAAACGTCGGAAGAAGAAGAAGAAGAAGAAAAAAGCAGGAGCCTACATCCGTCGTTGTTCCCACACCGAGGGATAAGGTCTCGAGCCCACAAGGACGACCCCGACGTTGGCTTCTCCAAGCTCTTTGGCGAGGAGATGCGCCTCCGTGGCGCCAGAGATGGTCATTCTAATCTTGGAACTTGTCTTGGCCTCAACCTCAGCTTTGAGAGCGATGAGCGTCGCGATGATGTCTGCGCTGTGTGCCTCTATGACGATCGGTATGTTACCCTTTTGACGGGAAAAAAGATGTCAAAATTTGCTGGAAGCTTGACGCTCAAGCATTGAATGAATGACCTACTCTGGCAACATCTGCGAATGCACCGATTCGTTCGTTCGAGGTAGCCGAAGCTTTCGTCGCTGAAGCACCCGAGAGCAGCAGCTGGCGCAAGACAGCGATCTGCGTGCTTACGCTGGGTTGTGTCCCAAAATGGCGCACGGAGACATGAAGAGCGGTCGTCTCCTGGATGACCGCGCCGAATTCCAGCTTGTTCTCAGCCCCGAGGTTGAAAGAGGTGCCCAAGCCACCGTAGGATCCTCTGTACAGGGGGGCCGAGATTCCCGTCGTGACACCCGCGCGATAGGCGAGTCTACGTATTCGGAAGTAACACGGTCAGCTTCCAATTCTACGCTCTAAAAAAATCGACGCTCACAATGCACTTCGTCCAGCAAACTGTAGACCGTCGACTGCACGGATAACTGCCTCATCGCCTCCAATGACGCTCGGTACCTTGCCCGTCAGTGGGTCATAGACATAGCCATCAGACGTCGAAGGCTCCCCTGCGATCTCCACAAGACCGAGAGGGGAACCATAGCTCAACAAACCAGGAGAGATAGAGCCTCCGCGCAGATCAATGCGTTGCACGTTCGTCGTATCATCGAAGGAATTGAGCCCGCACGAGGATTCCGTGCCATAACAATCCATCGAACCATTCCGCACGATTACAATGCCCTGTTGATCCAGGTTCTGTGCGCTGAAGACCTCCTCGACCTTATCCGCATCAGGCACATAGACTGATCCCACGTTGGTGAAAACGACGATCTCTGCGCTGGATTTCTTTGGCTTCAATGGAGGAAGGCCTTCGTACTCGATGGTCGCCTCCTTTTCCTTGTCGAAGTCAGGTGTTTTAGGTGGAGACTGTAGGGCTGGAGGCTTGCTGACGACGAAAGGAGACTTTAGTTGAGGAATGCCATCGATGAAAACTTGGGAGGGTGTAGCCCCGAGTGCAAGGGGGTTGCTATCCCAGACGACGACATCTGGATGGGCAATCATTAACGACAGTCGGACGGAAAGTATACTAGGTGAGGAGCTCACCTGCATCCCATCCTGCGTAGAATTGCAACAAGAACGGTTAGTATCACAGCCCGTAGAAGACTTTCTTGAGACTTTACCTTCTTTTATGTAGCCGATCCGGTGGTCCATAGCCATCGCCTCTGCTGGATGAGTGGTGATGGACGACAAGGCTAGATTGTCGGGCAGTCCATACTAGTGATGAATTCAGGATATATCAAGATAGAGAGAAGATTATGGACGAAGGAGCCTTACGTAGTGAGCTTGTTGAGCTTCATACAGAAGGAAGCGGGAGTCAAGGACCGGGTGGTCGCTCTGTACATTGTGGTCTGCATAAGGATGGGCGCCTAGATGTAACATGTCGACACAGACCTTCATTATGACTTTGATGCCATTCTCCGCCAGAATACGGGGCGCAAACTCGGAGCCTCTGTAGGCTTCGCGTTTATATCTGGAGTGCACTGCGAACATTGCGACCGCAGGTGGATGCCCTTGACGTACCACCGGGTGAGTCCAAGGAAAATAGAATATTATGGGGTAAAATTAATACCATAGGCCTTCTTCAATACATCGGGGACTAGATAGGCCTCATGTGCGTGATGGACCGCGGCGATCGGGAACTTAAATTCGTTGGTGAGCTGGATATGAAATCGACGTGTGTTGGTTAATGAGGCGTTTGCGTCGTGGACACAGGTTCTCTCACTCTAATGAGATCGTCGAGGTCGACTTCCTCGTAGCAATGAGTTTGTACCTGTCGAAGCGGAAGGATGAATGACGCGGCTCCGTGTCAAACCTGGAAACTGTACTCACGCGAACCCGTCCACGAAGAACATCCACTAAGGCCTCCCATTGGAGATCGTCGGGGAATTCTTGGGATTCGAGATCGCCCCACTGCCCGGCAAGAGCCTTGGTGCAGAAATCGTCCTGTTTCTCCTTGAGCTGGCGGGCGGTATCATACCTACGGACTTAGATGTTCATATCTATAAATGTGGATCATTGAAACCCACGAGACCTACGCCTTTCGGAAAGCCCAGAAGGTATCCATACGGGTTCCAGAATAAACCCGGCCTTTGTGATGGCGTTAGTTGTCGTATTGTGTTTGAAAAAGTGAGCCGACATACTAGGGTTTTCTCCTGCGAGGACGACATGGCATATTTCGTCAGTGCGTGAACAAGCTGGCTTGCTATTGTGGCGACTCACCGCAGGCATGTCTGTGAAGGAAGGTAATACACATACTCTGGTAAATATAACTCTCGAATGTTGACAGGGTATTCTTACTTCATTTGACGCCACGGCAATGGGGCAGCCGGGTCTGTATCTCGGTAAGACCCATTGATATTGGCAGGAGGCTCCAAAAGCATCGCAGTGGGCGACCTTTCAGTCGTCTTACGCAGCTTGATGGTGAACGCCTGGCCACCTACACCGACATTGAATGAGCATCGACTGCGGTTAATCGACGCCACAAAGTCCTCACCAATGGCGTTTGCTGATCCGGGAAGGACGTTAGCGGTCGTCACACCACCAGAAATAGACAAGGCGTATGCATCGTCGTGGGTGTTCAAACCGTCCAGAGACCGAAGCCATGGCTGAGCGATTCCTTTGAGCGAGTTTGTATCGGCCGCGCCATTGAGCTACAAAACGGCGCTATATCAATAGTGCATACAATTAAGGACATAATGTTTGGACGGACCGCGGGAGACGCATCATCGCCAAGATGCGAATGATTATCAACGATCCTACATGAAAATAAAATATCATATGAGCATCTCATCTCAACACATAGGTCGTTCATTCGTGTACATACCCAGGTGTGATCCACGCGCCTCCCACATCCAACACTTCGGCCTCGCCCCTCCTAGCCATCTCCTCCACCGCTGCACTCAAACGACCAACTCCCTGAATGATACCCTTATCCAAATACACATCGCCTTTGATGACCTCCGTTCCGTTGTGCTCTCCAGTCCAGATATGCGCGTTTCTCAGGATCGAGGGCCGGGTCCCAGCAACAAATCTGTCGGATGAAGCGCGCTCGTGGAAGTTGGACGGAGGTCCAGGAGTAACGGCGAGAGCACGGCAGCGATTGAGTGAGGCCTGTGCGTGAATCGGGAGGCGAACATTCGTATCGGAGGAGGAAGTATACAGTCGAGTGATGACAAGGCCATTCAGGCAAGCCAGAAGCGCGAGGAGTGCAATGAAACGCCTCTGCTTGCGACCAGGCTTGTCCGAGACAGTCGAATAAGCTACCGGGAGAGAGCCCTTCTCCATGATGCGTCGAGTCCTGTAGTCGGTCGCTCTGTCAGAAAACGATCTTCAACGACTGCACGACTGTTGAAGGAAGACCGTGGAAGGGATACTGCTCGCGTATAAATACCTAGTGCTTATCTTGCCATTTCGAATCGCAATGGCGCACCGACGGATTGCGCATTTCCTACCAAATCTTCTCCCGTGCTATTGGACCCGCGCAAGAGCAGCCATTAAGCTTGGCGTAGCTGCGAGGAAGCGCACCAGCCGCCAGAGTTCAATGTGCGTCTTCGATACTGTTCCCAACTATCACTTTACGGTGATAGTAGGGTTATGTGGGACCGAACCTGCGAGAATTTTCTGGGTTGTGACAGAACGATGGTTGTGACTGTTGTGTTACGTGTGGCACTTCGTGACGGTGGTGGCCCTTCTTCTGCCTTTACTTTACTCGTCGGGCCTTTCTTCTTTCTCACTCTCTCACTCTCTTGCCCAATGCGTTACCAGCAATAACAACGAGCACCAACTACTTTGGCTTTTCTCTATCTTTTTTGTGTGTCGTTTGTCGTCGACGAGTAGCTCAGGTTTTCCTCTTTACGTTGTTTGATTTCTCTACCTCTAAGAGGTTTTTTTTTTCCTACCGTGACCGGTCTGTTTATTGTTACCTCAAGTAGGTCGCTTCGTTTTCTACCTCTACGAGGTTTTATTGTACCGCGACCGGTCTGTGATACCACGAGAGGTTCTGTGTGTTATGCTAGTATATATACTGTGAGGGCAGATCTTTTTGGTAGGATTTTCATAT